AGTTGAGGTTTTGCTGAAGGAATATGTGTTACTTCTTGGATTGTCTTGTGGCACACACAAGAGTATTTCGTCAGGTATACTCTTAGATTGGCAGCTGGTTTGGTGTTTGTTTTTTCAAATTTTTAACCAAAATTATTAAATAGGGCAAAGTCAGATGTAGTAGCATTTCATCTTCCCTAGAAAATAACTTGTGGAGATAGTAAGGGGCTGTTTTATCAGTCTTTCTTAGCTGATAACAGAATCTTGTCATCTGTTACCTGAAAATCTTCTGTTGAAATCTTAGTAAAGAGTCCTGTCTTGTTTCCCTGTCAGTTTTCTGTAAAAATATTCCAACATTTAAAAATGAAATTTCTCCTAGAACAGCAATTCCAAATTTTAAAGCTACAATATTTGTGCATGTCTTAGTTTTTATTTGGACAAGTACAGAATGTGTGTACTTCAAACTTGAAAAAATCATACTTAAAAATCCAGGTATGCTGTGTGTTTGAATTTAGTATGTGAATTTTCTTTATTTTTCACCTATTTCAGTTTGATGCAGGAAATCTGTTCTACCATTTCGAAATCCAGAAGCTGTTTAAATTCAAGTGGAACACAATTTAACAAAGTTGTGATCATGGTATACCTCCAAGGCCAGGACCAGGAATTCATTTGATACAGCTAAAGAATGAAAGCTGATGAAAGGATTACAGAGGAATATGGCTAGAAAGTATTCTTTCAGACAGAATCATTAGACAGAAAAAAAAGAAAAGCTAAACAAAGCATAAATGAAAAGTATTTAAGCAATTGCTAACTAAGTAGATGAAGAATTGGTAAGACCTGGTGCTTCACAGTGGAACTCACCAACTTTTTAACTTAAAAACAAAAAACAAAGAAAACAAAACATCGGAATATTGTTTTCCGGAATATCAACCACCATTCAGGTTGATTTTAGAATTCTGTTCTAAAATCAACCAAGTATTACCCAACCACCAGCCAGGTAGTGTTATCCAGTGGTGACATGAGCGAGCATGAACTATTGAAAGTTCCACATAGAAATTAGTAAAATCAACAAGTTGTAATAAATGCATAAATATCACTCAATAACACACAGACACACACTCAATATATTACCATGAATAAGGTAACTTTTATAATATGTCACCATATAACTTTCTCAATTTTGGGGGAAGGAGTTACCCATAACTCCTTTGAGTGTAGGTGGATGTGTTTCGTTTGCTCTGCATACTTGCCAGAGAAAGACCTATGTCTGTTCCAAGAATTTTAATTCGCCAAGGGCAAGATACCACAATGAAACCACTTTAAAACACAACTCTCCTGTGTGTTTAACAGGATAAAATATAGTCCAGATTGCCAAATACCCTGCTAGCACTGCTTATTTATTTTCCCTGTTATTCTGGGCACAATATTAGACCGGGAAAAAAATCCTACACAACTTTTTTCTGTTTAAACATGCTTAGGATTGTGCCCTTGATATATTACATTTTGGTAGAACTTCTTTCAAATAATATTCTGGAAGATTTGTACATTTTATCTTATGCTCAACATGAATAAAACGTGCATCTTTAATATTGTTATTACTTTGAGCCTTAGGTTCATTTTTCAGTCTGGCCTTGTTCTTCAGTGCTTCCTCAGAGCAATATCTTCAGCAAATATTATGTATTTCAAAAATTTACTTTAATTCTTTCTTACCTTCATAAAAATCTAAGGATAACTTGCCCTGAGTTTTCCTGCAAATAATGCCTAAACTGCAAAAGGTGGTTGTTCTCTCAAAGCAATGAAAAGAAGTAAGATACAAGGTATCAATTACAGATGTTCCCATCTAAAAGCAGGTGTCCAGAAATTACTTGTGAAGCTCTTCTGCTGACATATGGAATTAGTCAAAGACTAATTAGTCAAAAACTAGAGTTGAAGGGACAAGACATAAGTCAACCGAAATTGCAAAGATTGAATATCAGTATTTTATTTGAATAAAATGCCTTAATTAATGTTGCAATAATAAATGTCATGTAATGTAAACAGAAACTATAAATGCATGTTTTATTTGGTGTATGCGGAATCATTTTTCTAGTACAGTGGTGCCTTGGCTCATGAATGCCTTGGTTCACAACCAAATTGAGTCACGAACAAAAAATTCATGACATTTTTGACTTGGGTAGCGAACTCCACATTGGGTGGCAACCAAAATCGCGGCCATCTCCCCACCCACCCCAAGTGGGGAGATGGCCATGATCGCAGTTGTGTTCGTGCAGGGAAGATGTACATGATCACGGGCGCGCTTCTGCACAAAAGACACGTGCAATCTCGGCCACCCCCCCCCCACCAGCATGATCGCGGCCATCTCCCCACCCCCACCCCAAAGTACGGAGATGGCCACAATTGCAGTTCGTGCAGGGAAGACATAGAGGAGCTGATGACAGAAGAACTTGCTGAACTCCAGAGTGAGCAGCAGAAGGCACTTGCTGAGGAGGATTCCGCTGACGAAGAGGAAGGCAGGGTGGAGGTTAGCAGTGATGTGATACGGATCCATTATGAAAAAATGGAATAAATGCCAGGATTTATTTGAGACGCACCACCCCAACATAACTGTAACAAACAGAGTATTGGATCTTATAACGATAACATGGTCTCTCATTTCCGGAGGGTTATGCAACACAGGAAAAAACAAGTGACTATAGACAGATTTTTCACTAAAATTGACCCTGCAGCTAAGAGACAAAGAAGAGAGGAAACCCCTGAATAAGTTCTCCCCAATATCCTTTTGGTGGGGGACTCTCCCTCAAAACAATAACCTCCCCCACGCCTAGGTTAGTGTTCTTCACTGTACTGTACTGTACTTTGTTACTTTGTTGTTCTTTGTCACTGTGTTTCAAATTTTTCAGGTTAAAAAAATAGTTACAGAACAGATTAACCTTATTTACATGGAACCTTATGGGAAAATTTGACTTGGCTCGCGACCAAAAATTGGCTCACAGCCACATTTGTGGGGGAGGGGCCAGAACGGATTAACCTTATTTACATTGAATCTTATGGAGAAATTTGACTTGGGTCACAACCAGTTTGCATCACAACCAGAGTCGTGGAACGGATTAAGTTCGTGAGCCAAGGTACCACTGTATATGAAAGAATTCCTCAGTTGCAAATGCAAAACTTTTATGTATAATATATCTTATTAAAACTGTGCTCAGCTGGGACAATTAAATTAACTTACAGTCACTGCATAGCTGAAGGAGTGCTTTCATCTCAACTTTTCCAACTTTCCTTTAAAAAACTGTGTTTAACTGCCAACAATATAAATTATAAACATTTTGGTTTTAGCTATGGTCAGTACTGGAACACTTTTTAAGGGGTCTAAGACTGAAGCAGGGTGGTGTTGGAGAATAAAATATTTTAATATTTCAACTTAGAAAAATATGTTCATGAGCTAATGGTTAACAGCTGCTACAAGGGCTCATTGGTCTGCTTTCTGTACCATTTTAGCATTTAAAATCAAAGAACACGCTTGCTTATATTTTCTGTTTCTGTTAACAAAACTGTTAGACCCTAGTTAAGTAGAAATTCATCCTGTACATTTCTTTGCAACAGTGGTTTCCTAACATTTTGAGGCAAGCAAGCATTTCAACCACTGTCTGTCTTTAATCTTGGTTGTGAGATAGTGTTTAAGGGGCAATAGCTGACAAAACCTTTTAAAACCCTGATATAGCAGTTCCAGTAAATTATTAGAGCTTCACATATACAGAACATCCCCAGACTGTTCTGTTCCAATGTGTGCAGAGTTCATTGTGTATCAAATTAAGTCCATCAAAGCTCTGGCCATGAAGTTTCCCCCAGTATTTCTGGTATGTTTCTGAAGTCCTGTGATTCAGAAGGTTTTATTCCACTTAGTGCAGTAAAATCTTTCTATAGCCCTTGAGCAATTGAAGGTAGAGACAGGACTAATAGTTTCTTGAATAGTTTTTTGCATGTTCATGAAAGTAACATGGTACTCTGAAATACTAGTCCAGAGTTGAGAACTGGCACGGCAACATAACTGACTTTCTCTCATATGGGAAATTTTGTTTTAATACTGCTTTGCTTCAACTTTGGTCTTTGCGTAATAGTGCTGCGATTATCATGATTCTTTCAGTGTGTTTTAAGACTGTTTAAGGAAAACTGTCTTTCTGGTGCAGTGAACAAAATTTGTTTATAACTAGAGAAGAAGGGGGGAAATTGCCTGACTCTGTTTAACATCTGGAAAGAAAAGCCATATTACACCAAAAGACTAGAAGTTCAATTACTCTTCAGTTACTAGAAAACATGACATTGAAAAGTTAGAGATATACAAGTACAGCTGTAAAGAGTATTCTGTTATAAACTTTAAGGGTCTGGAGCATTGGCTAAAATCCCTTTTAAAAATTGCTGATCACTGGTATGCAACATTATTTTAGAATAGTAAAACAACTTATAAATTGATGCCCTTTGCAATGGCAAGATGCGTAGTTAGTGTCAATGTGTTGCATGGACTAAAGAGTAAAGGACCATCCTGAGACTCTTGGTAAGAGGACGGAATAGAAAAGCTTTAAATAAATACAATAAATAAAGTATGATAACTGGTATCCTGTTGCATCTATGCATTTGCAGGAGTAACTGCTTGCACAGTGGTACTTTGGTTCTTCCACAGATAACCCAAAATGAGCAGAAACATATGTTTTCATAATGTGTCAGGGCAGTGGATCTTTCAGAAGACAGTTGAACTGGCGTGTCCCAGTCTGGAATGTAGCATTTCTGTTTATTACTGGAGTTGTTTTTAGAAAGGCAGCAGTCGCTTCTGTGAGAGCAATGGAGCCAGCAGAGTGGATGCTGCTGTATGCGCCATTCAGTATTACATTCCTTTTGTGGTCAATTCCTTTTCTCCTGCCTGTTTTGAATGTGTGTGGAATATTCTGGAATGTTACCATAGACAATTATAATAAATGAAAACGGAAAAAGATACAAGCTGATACTATCTTCTGTTTCATTTTCAGCGGAACCCCTGCCTTTAATGGACCTGTGTCGAAGATCAATTCGCTTCGCTCTAGGCAGAGAACGCCTGCATGATATAGAAACTCTACCTTTGCCTCAGTCTCTGAAAAATTATTTACAATATCAATAATATGATTCTAGATCTCTAAATGGTAGAAATTGTTTACATCAGAATATAATTCTTCATGGTGGATATTTTGAGTGTTATTTAATTTTATTTTTTACATTTTTTAATCAACCATGGCAGAACATTATGGAGACTACTAAGGACTGTGAAATCTATTTGAATTGGTTTAGATCTTTCATTTAAATAAATGTTGCCTACACTGTTAGCAGCCTTGTTATGCATAATCCAAAGCTTGCCTTCACAGGTTAGATCCAAAGTTGAGATATATGTTGCCCTAGGTCTGATTTTGGGTATGCATCAGATGAAGATATAACTCTCAGAATCAGTTCTTACACAAGAAAAACATCACGTACAAGTTTCTCTTGACCGGTAAAGGAAATAACCACTGTTTGGAAGTTTCTCAAAAGTCGGAATCCTAACTCCACATGGAGATTTAATTGGTAGATATACAAAGTAACTTTAAGCCCTGTTGACATTTGCTTTGGCCCAAGGCTTCTTATGCATAAGAGCTCCTTGTTCTCTGATGAAGGGAACTGTGCCAGTGTGCACACCAGTTTTTCATGTGCACTATAGAAGGATATAGGAAACCCTTGTGCACATGAAGTGGAGCTGCATTGGAACAGCTAAACTGTGGCCTTTACTTTTAGATGATTTTTAGCAAATCATATTCCTGAAACAGTATACAACCTGTCATATTTTACATTAGTCTATGAAACAGCTGTGTCTTTATTTCAAAGGTAGTTGATCTTTTCTGATCCACTTCAGCTCAGTCTGCAGACCCGTTAAGCTGGCGTACTTGATCTTAAGCTGGTTTGTTTGTGTGTGTGTTTTGTCTTATTGCTTCAGTGGGATGGAATTTGCTCGAATCAGTGTTCTCTAGCTTAACTTGATGCTGCTCGGGCTACATACCAATTCTGTTGAGTGTTTCATTTTTTCTCTCAAATGATGTCATTTTAAGATGTTGAACATTTTTTTAAAATTGTATCTCATGAATTCCCAATGCTGGATATTCTTTTAATGTGTATGCAACAGAATGAGGGTTCACACAAACTTCTTCGTGCTTTCAGAAAACAGACAGAGAGGTTCTTGAGGCCTACTAGACTTACCACTGCCATCTCCTAGCCCAGTGAACTTTCAGTGGACAATCATGAGAAAATGTTGTCTGCATGAACCTCTATACATGTGGAGAAGTCATTCATGAATGACTACAGAAGATTCATGAAGGGACTGGGTAGAAGGCAGCATGCAGTTCCAAGTAGTCAATGAGGCTAGCCAATGCTGCCCTCTTGCCATTCTCTGAATGTGGAAAGGGAATTGTGTGTACCCTCTGAAAGTGTTTTGCTTTTCTATTCAAACTCAGCAGAGAGTATCACATTTTTAAGTTTCCTTTCTCTGGAAGAAGATGACTTTTTGTTCTCTCTATTGCTTACAATATGTATCCATCCATCCATCCAGATCAACTTATTTTTAAAGACACTGCTTTCTCTTTGCATTTCCTCTTATGTTCAGAGTTCTCTGCCTGATCAGTTATCTAGTTTTTAACTGGAAGTTGTTGTAATGGCAGGATGTCGAATGTTTAGACTGAGCTGCCCTCAGCATATTTTAATGTGAATTTACTGAAGAAGGAAGAAGACATTTCTAATAAAGTCTACTGTCCAAAGTACTGTTGGCGTATGCCTCCTTCCTTCCTTCCCTCCCTCCCTCCTACCCTCCCTTGTAGCCCAAATCATTGGCATACTGAGGAAACTTCTTAATTTTCTATCTAGATTTTTGGACAAGTTTGTTCCTCAGGTTATGTATTCATATTGGTAATCTTCAGAAAGCAAGCTGAGATTTCCCATGTTTCTCATTATGTTTTCCAAAGGTTGCTGTCCACTCTGGTGAAGTCAGAAGATTTATCTTCCCTTCTGCCAAGTAGGTAGATCTCTTCCAGATGTAAAGACCTCTCCTCTGTACACTAATAACAGAAAGTATATTAAAATCTTCTCCACAGCTATTAATCGAGCTTATTTGTGTAGTTTCTCAGTATCTACCAGCAATAGGTGGTACTGTAGACTGGAGGACTGGAGATGAAAACATAGGAAAAAAGACATGGTAAGTCTGACTAGATGCTATGAGGCAAGAACACAAGTTGATGCAAGGATGCCATTTTTAACAGTGGTCATGCTGTGCTTTTTCTACAACCCCACCTGTAGACATTGAATCAGTGTCTTCTTTTCCAATGTACACAATTTGATAATCAAAATATCTTCTATCCAGTTTTGCTTCTGTGTTTGTATGTCTTAGAGCTTCTTTACATGAGGCATTAATTGTGTTTCATGAGCCCTCACTTATGGAAGTTTGGGAGGGTTTCAACAATCCTGTTGTCCTGCAGGTCCTATCCTTAGTTTTCCAGCCATTTTTGTCCCTTCCTTTAGAACAAGGAAAGTCTTTTCCTTGATGGCACGGTTATTCACTACAGAAGCCTTGGGTAGTCTTGCAAACACTCTACACCACAGAGCCATCTTGTGTTGTACATAGAACATACAGAAACATATAGACAGGAAAATCTCTGGGAAGTGTGAAACTTCTCCCCAAGGAAGCGGAAGAAGAAGCCTTTGGAAAGCACTGGGTTTTATGACTCAATAGATAAACTTCTTGCCATCTTTGAATAGCAGAGGGAATTCTGGTTATTCTCAGTGCTTTATACTGTATTTTCAAAAAGTGTTTACACAAGCGAGCTGTTATAAAGAATCTTAAGAATGAAATGACGAGTCAGCTCAGATGACAAATCTCACTTTCTGTGTAATAAACAGCAAATCAATTTCCTGTCCTATGGTAGAGGGAAAATAAGACTAACAACTTGGTCTCTGGTAAACAAAATTCATATTCAGTTACTTTCACTTGCTATATTGCCAATACATTAATGAGAGTATACTGTGTCGTGCCCTTCCCTACTTCCTTACAAACATCTTGATTTTATTTTAATATTTTTGTGTGTGGTATAAATGCACACCCTTTATTATTGACAGAAATTATTCAAATCAACACTAATATCTCATGAAGTGCTTACCTGTCAACCTAAAAACTGCACTGTCTAGACTTGACATTTCCTTAGGTGACTATTGAGCCTATGTTCTGGCATTACTAAGTAATCAGATACATTTGGTATTCATAAGGAATGAATAGGGGGAGCCAGGAATGAACAAATGCACTTCCATAAATTTGAGTTATGTCTGTGCTTAGGGTTTACTGTAAGGTGTTAAACCCTTCAGAAACAAATAGTTGTGACAGTAGATTTGATTTAAAAAAGCACAGCTGGATTGTCTGGGACCCATATCCAAGGCAAGGAGATGGAGACTCTCCCAATGACCAAAGGTAGTAGAGTTGGAGAATGTGTTGCAGTAATTTTTTCTGAGTTTAGGAAGAGATGGAAGGCCATGTGAAGACAGTTCATTTTAGCATGGAGGACAGAATACAAGAAGGTTGAAATTAGAAGCTGGAACATGAAGAAGCTGCACAAGGAATAGCCTTTTCTATTTTAAGTTTTATAGGTAAAATATATTTTTTAATTTATATTTTAAATTAATGAAGGCTGAATTTAACATACTCTATAATAGAGTATTAATATAGAGTATTATAATAAAGAAATAAATATAGTTTATTTCAAAACATTTTTTCCCAATTTGATAAATCTCTTAAACAGCACTGGGATTATGCCATCCATTCCAGTTAATTTTATTTTTCAAAATTAATAAAACGGCACACTCCTATGGCTGCCGGACAGCATCTAGATGGATTTTTTTTTTTTCAGACTCCCAAGTCTGAGATCAGAAAACCATGCCAACCTTGTAGCAGGGAATCTGTGCTCATCTCTCATCTCTAAGACCTTTTCAGAGAAGGGCTTTGGGGTGCATTCCAAGGGGTGGAGTTAGGGAAAAGATGAGATCAGTACTGCCAAGACACAACCCTTACCCTTACAACACCACAGCCATCTTCCTTTCCACTGCAAAGCATTACGCTTTGATTGCTGAAATGAACCATCTGAGCACTTTGCAGGTCCAAACGTTGGTAATATGGTGCCCTAAGACTGGCTTGGTTTCTGCTCAATTGGGCAATGGATGTTGTATAATCTGTGGCAGAGGGACTTGACACTGAGCAGTTTTCAAGTAACTCGTCCCATAGATTCCAAATCTGATCTAGCATTACCTGATCTAGAACACAAAACACTGATCAGTTTGTTTGCATGAAATAATGAATATCATTTTCTTTCATTGACAATGGGAACTGACTCAAAGCGAGCATTTTCTTCTCATACCACTTATCTAATGTAAGAAAATTTTGGAAGTTTAAGGAGCTATTGAAAGATTTAACAACATGAGACTACAGTGATAGAATACATTAAGCAGCTTTCTGGTTATCTGTTGATCTCTTAGCAACAAATTATTTCACTGATACATTATGTGATTTCAATCTCATGAGAATCTCCCCTTTGAGAGAGTTCTGTGTTACATCCTGGAGAACTGGGAGGAATTTAAGTGTGCTGCGTAAGGCTCTGCTGATCGCCATATAGTCAGAACTGATTCCATATATCAGAGCCGGTGTGGTGGTTAAGAGCATGGACTGGGACTCAGACGATCTGGGTGCTAGTCCCCGCTCAGCCATGGAGCCAACTGGGTGACTTCGGGCCTGTCACAGACTCTCAGCCCAACCTATCTCACAGGGTTGTTGTGGGGATAAGATGGAGGAGAAGAATTATGTAAGCTGCCTTGAGCCCTTTGTAGGAAAAAGGCAAGATATAAATCGAAAAATAAATAATAAATAAATATCGCCTCCCTATACAAATAAGTGGAAATAAGAAATGTCTAAATTAGCACTACATTAAAAAATAATAATATCCCATCGATATGGTCTCAACCCATTTCTTTTAAAATGTAGCTGTGTGAGAATGAGGATATGCCATCAGGATTAATATTTACGTACACAAACACATTTTTATCCTTCAGTTTGATTATTAAATCATTGAGAATAATAAGACAGGAAAAAATGTAATGCTTACTGCAGAAACTGCAGTGGGGCATGAGATGCAATTTTGCAATATGGTTTCATTATAAAATGGCAAAAACCTTGAATATTAGATAATATTTGCAAATGTGGAGTATGTACCGAATTACAGCTGTTCTGTTCATCTCTGGGGAAAAGATTCGGACACAATATAATCTTTCCTATAATGTTCAACCTTTCTAATATGCTGTTCTAAATACTGACATCAGTGGAACAAGGCAATATGTGATTTTGAAAAACCATGTAGATGGGGAAAAAACATAGCACATCATCTAAATACTTGTCAGGATTCTGTGTTTTGTGTCTGTGTGTTTTTTGTGTTTGTGTGTTCATGTTTGGGATTGGGTTGAAATGGATGCCACTTACACATGATACTGAAAAAAGGGTGCTAAATTTTCCATAGATCAAACCACATGATACAGTCTTTCTGCTGAAACAAACTAAAATAGCAGGAGGAGGCCATCCCTACTTAAATAATTCTATTAGATGTATTATACATGTATTAGATAATGTATCAGAGACTTCTAAAGAAGGGTCATTTAGAGCATAAGAACCAACAGCCAACATCCATCCAACATTCTGCTCACACAGAGGCCAACCAGATGCCCATGGTATTTATTTATTTAGAAAATTTCTATGCCGCCTCATTCGCCGAAGCCTCGGGGCGGATCTCAACATAAATAACTTCAATTAAAATAAAATAAATTAACAGTATAAAATAAAGGTATCCCACAAAGAATGTGCTTGCTGGTGTCCATAGGCATATCGCTCTGCTACTGCAGGCAGCATATAGCCATCAGGATTAGCAGCTTTTGATAGCCTTCTCTGAAATGAATTTATCCAATTTCCTTTTAAAATTATCCACAATGGTGGCCATTTCTGCATCTTTTACAAACTTTCATAATTTAACTGTGCTGTATGAAGTACTTCCATTTGTCTGTCCTGTATTTCCCACCAAGCTGCTTCATGGGATGGCCTTGGGTTCTACTGTTACAGTAAAGGCAAAAGAATGTCTCACTATCCATTTCTTCCCAACCTGCATAATTTCGTACACATCTACAATGTTCCTTTTTTACCATTTTTTAAAGCTGAACAATCCATGATGTTGTAATCTTTTGGATCCATTTGTAGCATTTTGTAATTACTTTTAAGGCACTTTTAAGGCATTTGTGTTTTCAGAAACATGGCCACCACATTCCCAATTACAGATTCTTCATAAACAAGTTGAACAGCATTGGCCCCAATAAAGATCCCTGCAGGATGCCACTGTTTACATCCACGCATTGGAAGACTGCATTTATTCCCAGTCTCTTCCTTCTGTTCTTTAACCAGTTACAGATCCACAAGAGGGCCTTTTCATTTATTTTATGACTGATAAGGAGTTATGAAAAGGCTTTTTGAAAGTCTGAGTGAACAGTTCACTCCTGTCCACATGTTTACTGCCATTCTCAAAGAACTCCAAAGAGTTAGTAAGGCAGGATTAGTTTTATGAAAGCCATGCTGATTCTTTTCCAGCAGGGCTTACCCTTCCACATGCCTGCTAATTTTATCTTTCAAACAATTTACCTGAAAGCTAACTTACTGCACTAACCTGCCTGTAATTTCCTTGAACCATCCTGG